TGCGTCTCCCTCCCCGCCTGAGCACCTTGCCGAGTCAAAAAGACAAATTTCCTGAAGCTTCAAAAGCTGCTGAGAGCCACAGCTCGGCACTTCAGAGCCATCGCTCACCGCAGCAAACAGCCCTCGCCCACCCTGCCTTCCCCTGCCACCCCAAACCCCGAATCAGCTCTGCCAGGGCTCCTGGGGAGGGGCCCAAACGCACCGAGAGCCCCCGCGACAAAACGGGGACACGGCACGGTGCCACCCCCAGCAGCAGAACCCCCAAACTCTAAATGCCCCGTGAATTTGGGGTGTTTGGCTCTGTCAGTGACGGTCTGGAGGAGCAGGGGGACAAGGGGTGGTGTCACCTCCCCTGCAGCCACAACCCCCGAACTCTCTGTGCTTTAAATCCTCTGCTTTTCTGAGGTTTGAGGGGGATTTGGGGCACGGGTGGCACCTTCTCGTGTCCCCCCCCCTGCCGTGGGGGCTCTGCCTGTGCTCCCATCACTGACAGAGCCGAGCAGCCTCGGCTTCCCTCCTGTGCCATCCCAAATTCCAGAGCAGGCTTTTCCAGGGCTCCTGGTGAGCGGGATAAACACAGGAAGAACCCCCAGGGCACGGGGGGGGACACACGGGATGGTGCCACCCCCTGCAGCCAGAACCCCCAAACCCTCCGTGCTTTAAATCCGCTGCTTTTCTGGTTTTTGGGGGGGATTTGGGCAGGGGGTGGCATCTCCCCGTGTCTCTCCGTGCTGATCCCCCTCACCCAGCAGCCTGGAAAACCCTGATTAGGGATTTGGGATGGCACGGGAGGGCAGCCAAGGCTGTTTGGCTGTTTGGAAGAACAGGAAGAGCCTCCACGGCACATGGGGACACGAGGAGGTGCCACCCCCTGCCCAAATCTCCCCCCATAAAAAGTGGAAGAGCAGAGGATTTCAAGCACGGAGGGTTTGGGGGTTCTGGTTTCAGGGGACCCCCCTGTGCCTCCTGCGCCATCCCAAATCCCTAACCAGGGTTTTCCAGGTGATGGGGTCAGCGCAGGGAGAGCCCCCATGACAAAGCAGGACATGGGATGGTGCCACCCCTGCCCAGAGAGAGGATTTGGGGGTTTTGGATGCCGGGAGAGGACAGGAAAAGCTGGGTTTGGCCTCGGGGGTGGCACAGCGAGCGCAGCTCAGCCCAGGGTGGCACCCAAAGCTCAGCCATGCCCTCGCTGCCCCCGGGGGTGTCACCAGCTGCCACCACCGCCGCCCGGCCGGAGCTCCGCTCCCGCAGGCGCGACACGTTCCACAACATTGCCCGGTAATTGCGTCTCCCAAAAATGCAATTACGGCGGCAGCAGCCCCGCGGCGGCGGCGGCCACACGTTATTTATTCACCCGGCAACGAGGTGGCAGCCCTGGAATGTCGCTGGCACCGGGAACAGGGCGCTTAACTCCCCACCAAGTGGCCGTGACGGTGACATTTGGCCCTGCCAGCTCCGTGCCCAGGGGCCACGACGTCAAATTCAACTGCCCGTGCCTCAGTTTCCCTTTCCTCGCCATGATCCCAGCTCGTGTCGCTTCCCTGGATGCAAAGCCCAAGGGAAAAAAAAAAGTTCTGCCCATTCCTGAGGCCATCCCGTGGCTGATTTTCCATGGACTGGGGACAGCTGAGGGGTCTATTCTCCTCACTCAACCCCAAACAGGGGGGGACAACCCCAAATGTGGGGCTTTAACCCCTGGGTCAACCCCAAATAGGGGAGGAATAACCCCAAATATGAGGTTTTAACCCCTGAGTTGACCACAAATAGGGGGGGTTTAACCCCAAATATGAGGTTTTAACCCCTGGGTTAGCCCCGAACAGAGGGGGGTAACCTCAAATAGGGGGTTTTGACACCAGGGTTAACCCCAAATAGAGGGGATTTAACCCCAAATATGGGGGTTTAACCCCTGAGTTAACCCCAAATAGAGGGGTTTAACCTCAAATATGGAGTTTTAACCCCTGGGTTAACCCAAAACAGGGGAGGAATAACCCCAAATATGAGGTTTTAACCCCTGAGTAGACCCCAAATAGGGGGGTTTAACCCCAAATATGAGGTTTCAACCCCTGGGTTAGCCCCAAACAGAGGGGGGTAACCTCAAATTGGGGGTTTTGACACCAGGGTTAACCCCAAATAGAGGGGATTTAACCCCAAATATGGGGGTTTAACCCCTGACAGAGCATTTTAAGCCCAAATTCAGCCTGAGGCCCTGCCCCATCTCTCTCACTGGTGACACCAAGTTTTCCTGCCAATGACAAAACACCGTCTGGGGTTTGAGACGGCGAAGAGTGGGGAAAAAAACAGCAAAACAACGCAAAACCCAACATTTCCCTCCAGGAATGCAGCAAGTGGCGGTGTCAGAATGAGAGATGTCGCTTGGCTCCAGTGGCTCTCTCAGAATTTGTTCATTTTGACTCCTGTCATCAGGGCAAATCCAAACATTCCGCAGCCGCTGAAATCCGGGAAATTACTGGATGGGCAGGAGGGACAGGAGGGCTCTGGATGGGTTTGGAAAGGATGGGAAGGAGGGAAAAACCTCTGTTCTCCCTCCATCAACATTCCCAGCCTGCGGGAGGGACGGGATGAGAATCCAGCTCAGAGGGGTTTTGGGGGCACCCCATGGGAAGACAGTGGAAAATCCCATCCCATCCTGGCACCAGGAAAAACTCATTTATCCACTGGGATAGAGGCAGAAATTGGTCGTTTTGGGGTTTTTTTTCCCAGCAGATGGACCAGTTTTGAAACCTCCACGGCAAGCCAGAGGATGGAGGTGACACGTTAAGTCACCCAAGCGTGGCTGGCAGCGCTGGCAGCTCACCCAGGCAGAAAGCCGGGTGGCACTGGGGGCACTCAGCCTTGCCCAGCTCCCCCTTCCCTCCATCCCAGCTCCCCCATTCCCAGGAGAACCACGTCCTCCCAAGGGAACAACCCAAGGTTTCATCCTCCCGGTGCAGGGAGGGGACACCTGGGGCACAGTGGGGTCAGGGTGGCACCGCTGGCCGCGGAGCTGGCCCGGAGCCGCGTGGCGAAGCAGCGCACGCAATTAGTAAATTAATTATCGAGCGGTAACGGAGATTTCATAGCTCGGAGCTGTCACATCACCAGTGTTTTGTCAACCGAGATGACGACTGGTGGAATTATTACTGCGGTGCTGGGGCTGGGAAAAAAGAGGAGAGAGAGACTTGCAGGGAGAGGGGAGGATAAAAATATAAAAGGAAGAGATAGGGAAGAACAAGATAAGTGGGTTTTGTTGCTAATGGAAGCTGGCACAAGGACAGAATCGCAACTCTTAGAAGACAACACACTACACTACGAGTGGCTCTGAATGATCCTCTTAATTAACGACGAGCACAAAAGGAGCCCCTGCCCACCTCCAAACCCAGCGGCGCTGCTGGAAGAGGAGCCACAGCTCCGTGAGGACGCCCACGGATCCGGGCCGTGCCGAGCGGTGACACGAGAAGAGCTGGAGACGCTCAGAGAGCAGGGAATGATCAGAGCTGAGGGCACAGACCCAGCGGGGACACGACAAAGAGCACACGGAGCTCCCTGTCCCCTCCTGTCACCTCATCCAGGCCCAGACAGCGGAGGGACGCCGTGTGGGGCTGGCAGCGACGGCAGCACTGCTGGATCCGGGGATTACAGAGCCCAAAGGCCGAAGGGACACGATTCGCCTTCCCCACCCGCCCTGTTTCCCCTCCATCTTCCAGGGCCAGATTTAAGCTGCGTATCCAGCGCGGTACAAAAATAACACCCCGCCCTCCCACTTGGGAAATTGATTCCTTCGCTTCCCACCCGGCTCCGGCTTTAAATATCCCCATTTACATGCAGATTGTGCTGCCTCCTTGCACCGCCTGGTGCGGAGCCCGTGGGTGGCTGCTGGGACCTCATCCTGCCACTCCACCCCATCCCCAGGCAGTGACAGGGGAGCCGGAGGTCCCAGCAGCGCCCCGATGCTCCTTCCCAAGCTGGGAGGTGACACGGAGCGGTGGCACTGCCAGGGAGCGCCACCCTGCCCGCGTTTGGCCAGGGAGAGCGCAGAAGGAGCTGCTTTTGGGTCTCATCCCAAATCCCACCCCCCAACCCCATCCCCACCGTGGGCCCCGGCTGTTCCCCCATCCCCAGCACGAGGAGCAGCAGATGCCAGGGATGGGGGTGGATGCGGAGAACGTGGACAGCCGTGGCTGCGCCCTACTTTTCCAGGGCAAAATCCGAAAAAGGGAAAGCGGAGCTGTCGTGTGAGCGAATCCAGCATCTGCGCCGGCTGGCAGAGCTCACACCCACGGCCCCGAGCCCTCCCAGCCTCCCCAGCACGAACCAGACCGGAGCAGGAAAGCAGGAATTTTGGGCTCCCAGATGGGTGCAGGGATGGGATAATGCCCGTGGAGCCGGGGGATGTGGGGCAGGAGCGGCACTGGCAGCGGCCGCGTGTTGGAACTTCCGAGGGGAGGGAGGGAAAGGACGGGTTTGAAGAAGCCGCCGCAGGGCTCCCGGAGGGATCTTTGCCAGCTCCTCCAAGTGTTTAATTCCTTCCCCTCGGCAGCCGCGGGAGCAGCCCAGATTCATGGCAGCGCTCCCGAGTTATCCCTCCCTCGCCGCATGAGCAGGGATCAAGGGAGCTGCGAAGCTTCACCAGAATCCAACCCCGCGCCTTGGGGCAGAGCCTGATCCCCCCCCAAATTCCTGCCGGGAAGATGCTGAGAGCAAAATCTCCCCCGGCATGGGATGTTCCACCCCCGATGTGACCATGAGGAGCCGGTGATAGAGCTTGGCCAAATATGGGTGGAAAACCCCAGGATTTAGAGAAGCTCCTGGGAAAATGGTCATGGGTGCCAAGGGGAGTTCACAAATCCATCCTCACCCCTGGCAAAGCTCCGTGTCCCAGCATTCCCTGATCCCAAACCGCCTCCCCGGGCTGAGGTTGGCAGGAAAATCATCATTCCTGCTGAAAAGAAGGAGGCAACAGGGCGAGCACAAACAGCATTTACATATCCTTAATTCTATTTTAGCACCTCCCGGGCTATTTTTGTCGTGGCAGAAACACAACAGGAGTGCAAGGCCAGAGAAAGGGCAAGGAACGGCTCGGAATGTGGGACAGAGAGAGAGAAAATAAATCCCTGGCGTGGGAATGGCTGAGACCTGTCCCGCCCAGGCTGTGTCCGTGGTTTGTTCCTCAGCTGGGCAGGACAAAGGGACACAAATGCCACCGAACAGCCCTGTCCCGTGTGCAGTGGGGGACACAGGAGGGGACAGTCACCACATCCCGGCTTTTCCTCGCTGCCTGGCCGGGAACAGCAGCGGGGAAGATCCAGGTGCAGGGGGGACATTCCCGGAGCCGGAGGGGACAGGCCAGCCCTGGCTCCGCAGCATCCTCGCCCGTTGCCAGGACAACGGGATGTGATGGAGCCACCTCCATCAGGGCCGGCTCCGGGATGTCGGGATGTGGGGGCAGCGGCACGCGGCAGCTTTGGGGTGCTGGGGGAGCCCCCCGGTCTCGGTCCATACGAGAACCCCCAAGAGCCACCTGCACGCAGCGGGCACGGACAGGGATGTGGCACAGCGGGAAAAGCGGGATGGAACCCGCTGGGACAAGCCCGGATCCGGGTGGGTCAGACATGGCACAGCACAGCCCGGGGCCCGACTGCCACATCCCGGTGCCTCTGCCCCTCCACCGACACAGGGCACGGCCCCGGGGCTACCGGAGGGTCCCCTGTGCCCCACGGCCTCCCAGCGCCTCGGGCACAGGGGCTGGCAACGCCCCGAGGCTCCGGAGCAACCAGAAAGGTGCAGCTTCGTTTCTTTGCTGTTGGTGCCATGGCAACCTTTCCCACTTGGCTTAATTACAGTGCCGGCTGTGCCTCCGCGGGGGGGCCGGGGGGTCTGCTTCATCCCTGCTTCATCCCTGCTCCATCCCTGCTCCATCCCTGCTCCATCCCTGCTCCATCCCTGCTC